CATAAATTTAGTTGTTTTATGGGTAATTTTTTTATATTAACACCCTTTCTTTTTATTTCTATTTTTCAATGAGTAGTAGTAGTAGTAGTAGTAGTAGTAGTAGTAGTAGTAGTAGTAGTAGTAGTAGTAGTAGTAGTAGTAGTAGTAGTAGTAGTCCGAAGCTTCGACACTATATACGCTGTAAATTTATTCAGCATTCAGATCAGCAGGGGTGTAAAAAAAAAAGGTACCAAAACTAAGGTCCTTGATTAATAATATAGAAAAATTGTATAAAAATGTGAACGCCAGTCAGGGTTGCTGTCCCAGGCAGGGCAAAAGCTCTCAGTGCCCCTGTTAGAAAGTTTCTCATTATGTCGTTTCTAATACTCGACCGCACCAAGCGTTTTTTTTTAAAACTTCAACTTTTTTGAAACATTTTTCCCAAATTTTCCTACTTCTAGTTCTACTTTTTCTGTGTGCAAACCATATTAATGTTATATAGCATCTTTTCATGTGCTGTATATTTTATTTTTATTTTTAATGCACCTTTTGTTAATAGAAGTGGATAAAAATCTCTGAACATTACTAGAGTAAATTTTTCTTTTGCACTTGATCACTCTTTCTTTAAATAAACACTCTTAGCTGATCTAGTTGTATTTACAACATTATATTCTTACAAACACACTTTATCTTTTTATTGCTACTTATTTCAATATCTTTTTTCTACTTCTCTGTATTCATTAAACGAACAGTTTCTAAACTAAAAAAAAACCATTTAAGACCATTTTGTGTTCCACTACAACTGTTGTAAACCTGGTGCTAAAAAAAAGTACAAATGATAGATTTCTCTCTGACTTTTTTTTTATACACTTTTAAGTATTTTTTTTTTTTTTTGATTATTTTTAACATTACACTACATAACATTTTCTTTAGTATTCGTTCTTCTTCTGTCTCTGTAATGGATAAATCTGCATCAGTATCTGAAATCAAATATTAACTATCTGTGATAAAAGCTTCAACTCTATAGAATAAGCTTTAAATAAATAAATAAATAGAATACTTTACAAATTTTTAATATATAATTATATTATTATTTACTTTATATTTATAAATAAACAGGAACTGAGCAGGCTGATACTTATTTGATTTAGTAATCAAAATTTATTTAAATTAAATAAACAATTTGATAAATTGTTTATTTAATTTAAATAAATTTTGATGATAAATATAAGAGCTCAAAGTAATCAAAGCTTCAACCTTTAATTTATTATTAATAAAATTTAAAAGTCTTCATAATATCATAAGAAGAAGCCAGAATATAGGTTTACATGTTTAATATATAAATTCAATTTAGAAGTATTCATAATGTTAATAAAAGAGCAAGGATAATTATTATCATTGTTTTTCTTTTTCTTTTAATTTATCTAGTTTTAGTTGACTTTTTTTTTCTTTTTTTATTCTCCTTATTTATATTTCATTTGCTTTTCTTCCTTTTTGTTGTTGAGAATTTTACGTTTTTTATGTGTCACTCCATTGACTAGTTTGTATCTATATAAGTGACACCAAACCAATTTCTGTAAATTTACGATGAAAATTTGTAAATTTTTATTAATATGGTTAAATAAAATTTCAAAAAAATAAACATACACACAATTTAAAATAGTAGCAACGTATCTTTAATCTTCTTTAAAGAGAGATTACTAAGGTTTAAAGGTCAAATGTTAAAACCAAATTTTGTTCTATTTGCGGTAATCCCACACAATAATTAATATGAATTTGTTACATAAGACAAATTAAGGTTTTAAAAAATTTTAATTTGTTTTAAATTATAAGGTTTTTATTCGGCATAGAAATGCTGATTCAGTTCATCTAAAGTCACACTTGGAAGCTTTCAAAGTGTATGAGGAGCTTCCCTAATTTTATTATTATTTTCAAAATATTTTTACTTATTTATTATCCCCTCCATAACAAAACACTTGGGAGTAAATAATACTAAGTATATGATATAGACTCCAACTTTAACTCTGTTGTCCTGAATTTATAACTTAATTAGACACTGGCAATAAGAGTATTTTTATAACTTGTCCAACAGTAGCTTAGAACTTTTATTACTTAAAATTTTTTGCCGAAGCCAAAGATTCGGTAAAAAATAGACCTGGCTTCGGCCGAACCGAAGCTTCAGCAAAACTACCGAAGCTTCAGCAAAATTGCCGAAGCTTCGGCATGCTGAAGCCGAAGCCGAAGCTTCGGTACATCCCTAGTAGTAGTAGTAGTAGTAGTAGTAGTAGTAGTAGTAGTAGTAGTAGTAGTAGTAGTAGTAGTAGTAGTAGTAGTAGTAGTAGTAGTAGTAGTAGTAGTAGTAGTAGTAGTAGTAGTAGTAGTAGTAGTAGTAGTAGTAGTAGTAATCCTGGTAGACCCTCGTGTTACGAATTGCATGCCCTAGCGCTACAAATTTTGCCCTCATGTTACGTTTTTGCCCTCACGTTACGCCAAGTGCCCTTATGTTACGAAGCTGCCCTCATGTTACGAAAAATGCGTAGCATGAGGGCAAAAATAGCCCTCATGCTACGCTAGAGAGTAACATGAGGGCATTTAACCGAAAGTTACGTTTTTTTAAGTTAAATGTTTAAGCGAGCAAATTTAAAATGGCAGAGTTTGATATGTTAGCGAAACGATTATTTAGATTAATTTAGTATAAAAATTAGATTGATGTTGTAGCTAAATTGATAATATATTGATAAATAACTCTAAGACTTAATATATTAAATAATATTTAAAATAATATGAACAAGCAATGATATTTAAATATACTGATAACTTTAGATTGATAAAAAAGTTAGATTGATGTAGTAATAACTTTATGGTTATTATTGAATAAATATTTATTGGCTTATAGTTTACTACTAGTTATACTAATGATTAATTAAATAATAATTTTAAATATTCTATTCTTTAGTTCTTAGTAGAGTATTTATCTTTATCACAGTTTTTGCCAGCTCTGATTTTGACACAGCTATCGCTTTGTTATCCCTTGCACAAGATTGTGATAAGAGTCAAATCTACTTTTTGATCAAATTTTGAAAATAATTGATCTTTAATTATGTTTTTAAATTAATCATTAAAAAGAATGCACTTTTCAAAAAAAAGTTTCCAAAAAAGTATTTTTTCTTTCTATAAACTGTAACTGTGCTAATTGTTCTACTATATTCTTAACTGTTTTCTTAACTATATTCTTAACTGTACTATATTGTTCTATTATATTCTAATTTATATATTTTAACTTCACTAATATATACATATAAAGTGAAATATAGTAGAAAAATATAAAATTATTCTTATTATGAATCAATTTTCTATATAAAATATCAGTTATTAGTATTACAAGTGGGAATGTTTTTTAATTGTTTATGGTAATCCATCATGGTGTTTTCAAAGGCTTTAAAAGGTTTAATGTTGTACTTCTACTAAAAAAACAGTTGTATTAGTAAACTGACTGTTTTAGCATTGTAAAGTAAACTTGATATCATTAATTACTAAGCACAGTATTTAAATATAGAACTTTTAAAAAATTTGCTTTTGCACTTTTATTTGACTTTAAAGCATATTGGAAGTTATAAATACAATTTATTTTTGCAAAAGAATAGATAAAATTAAAGTTTTAGAAAGAATAGGAATAAAATCTTAACTTTATTGAGATGAATTAAAAGAAAAAACCTTTTTTAAATTGCAACATAAAATCTAATCAAAAAAATTTTTTTACAAAAAAAAATCTAGTCCATTTTTTTATGGATTATTTACTTGAAAATTATTACTAGTTTGATATAAATTTTTTGTGTATTAGTAGTAAATGTTAAAGAGATTCTTGGAGATTTATTAATATGTATTTTTTAAAGAGAAATTCTTTTTTTTTTTCTCCTTTTTTTTACATGGTTTGTCTTCAAGATAAATAAAATTAGATACTTACTGTAGCATATTAGCTCATTCAAATTTATTTTATAAAATTATCTTAATTGATATTCTTTTTAGTTTGAATAATTTATATAAAAGTTTTGCAAGGCTTATGCAAGTATAAAATGTACTGTCTATATTTATTTATTATAGTTTATTTGTTACTAAGTTTTAATAACAGTATGTAAAAGATGGAATATTAATTGCGATAAATATTCCACCCAATTGTGAAAGATTATAAGCTGTTAAAAATTATTTTTAAATAACTTTACTTACAGAGAGATATCGGGTCATTCTATGCTAAGTGGAGCAAATTTTTATGGGGTTTATTATGGGACCATTTCAGATTTTATTGAAACTTTTTGATTTTGTACATATTTATGAGAAAAGCATGTTTTAAAAATTTCAGATCAATATCTAATATGGTTCTTGAGAAAACACTATTTAAAAAGTGAGCCATTTTGCATGAATTTTCACTCTACAAGCAAAAAGTTTTTTTTCATCGTTTTTAACAGTTAATAACTTTTGAACAAGTTGGTTTTATACTTCAACTAATTTATGATAGCAAGTATGCTATGGGATTTAAATTTTTTGTGATTTTAAAGAGATTAATCTTAAAAACTACTTCAAAAATTAATACAAATCAAATTACCTGTTGATCACATGGTGAATAAGTATTAAAAAATCAGTTAATTAAAGAGCTGCATTCAAAAGTTATAGGTCATCATCACAAATAGATCAAGATTTTTTAAAATTGATCCGCGATGCAAAAATCTTTTACCTTTTAGCATCTTTAAGATGTAAAGTTAATTAACTTAATATATTTTTATACTAATTAGTTTTATATGATAACTTATTTATACTATAAGTAATTTATGATGCTATAAGTATAAATAATAGTTAATGATGCTAAGATATTTGATATTATAAGTAAAAGTTTTACTAAAAAACTCAATGAATTATATTTATTTGAAATACTTTTCTTTTAGTGACTTAATATTTTTTAGTGGCATTTTTAGTATGTTAAAATGCTTTTAAAAGTAAATTAAATTATAAATTGTTTCTTATTTAAAAAGTTTCCAAATAAATCTAAATTTATGGAAGAAAATTTTTTGGCACCATGTGTGCTATGCAAAAAATCAATCGATACTCAAGATATATTAGATAAAATAGATAGATTATGGGAAAATGATATGTACAAAATTTGCAAGACATGTGCAGGTATGAAATTTAATTTTTTTTTTGTTATTTTATGTATTTTCTGTTATATGTATTTCCTGTTTTGTTTTGTTTTTTTTCTGATGTATTTTTTATTTTATTTTATTACATTTCACTTATTGCTCTGATTATTATAAATAGATTCATTTTGTGGTGTTTCTTACTCTGAAAAAGGTGTTATAGTTGAAAGAGGTACATATTTATACATATATATCCCAATATGCACCTGATTATATACTTTCACAAACACATAACCACACAAAATCACACATAAATACATATGTATATATATTTTACAATGAATAAAAGGATAAAAAATTAGAACAATTTCATTAAAGTATATATTTTAATGAAATACATAGAAATACTTTATTTAAACAAGTATTTTTCTATTGATATGATATTTCTTATCAATTCGTTTTCTATCAATATGTTGGAATTTTTATCTAAAGATATTCTTTTTATATTATTTATATATATATATATATATATATATATATATATATATATATATATATATATATATATATATATATATATATATATATATATATATATATATATATATATATATATATATATATATATATATAGGTATTTAATTTAATTTAGCTTTCAAAAATTTTACAACTCAGTCAATACAAGAAATTTCAACTTCGCCATTGCTAACTTCTATTTATTCTGGACAAGTATATGTGTTTTATATACATGGTTTTTCAAATTTATAGCTTATATATTTATTGTGTGAGAGTAAGATTAAATTTTTTTTTTTACAGCTTTATAGTTACAGGCATAATATGTATAAAGCTGGAGGAAAGTTAAAAAGTAAGCTTGGATTAAATTGGTGACAAAAATCATTATAAATATAATTTTTTTAATTTTGAATTAGTATTAATTTGTATTATTTATTTGGATTTCTATTTTAAAGAAAACCTCATGGATCAAGATCTTATGTCTCTATTGCCGAATGATAAAAAAGATGACTTATTTCGTGCTATAGGTTTATCCTTTAAAAATCTTAAGGTAATTCAGAATCGATTATAGATATAATTATTTATAGTAATACTCCAAATACAATTGCTGTTTTAGGTTTTAAAAAAAATCGTTAAAGTAGAAAAAGTGCGTCTAATAGCGAGTATAAATATATATACAGGGTGGCCACTGGTCATGGAAATCATGGAAATGTCATGGAATTTTATTTGGTCATGGAAAAAGTCATTGAATTTCTAAATCTTCATTAAAAGTCATGAAAAATTCATGGAACTTTTTAAAATTGTCTTAATTTTTTTCTACTTGTGATATTTTTAGGATGCAAAGAAAAGTATGTCTAGCCTAAATCCTTTTTGAAAAAGATATTTTTAAGTTATCAGAGAAGTAAAAGAAAAAGAGTTTTTTTAGACATGATTTCAGAAATTTCTACCAATTAGTTTTTGGTTTGCATGTTTTATAATGACCAAGTTGTAAATGCTTAGTGCATGACAAATGCTTAGTGCATGGCAAGTACTGAATATTTTACTCTAGTGATTTATTATTAAAGAAGAGTCATTTTCTATTTCAAATTTGAGTGGCCAACCTGTACATATATATATATATATATATATATATATATATATATATATATATATATATATATATATATATATATATATATATATATATATATATATATATATATATATATATATATATATATATATATATATATATTTATATATATTTATATATATGTATGTATGTGTATGTATATATATATATATATATATATATATATATATATATATATATATATATATATATATATATATATATATTTATATATATATATATATATATTTAATTTAATATATTGTAGTTTAATGATTATGCATTCAAAGTATTAATTCCTGAAGCTATATTATATCTTTTTGCGAAGTTGGAAGGAATATCAAGAATCAAGGTTTTTAGAGTTTTAAATTAAAATTATATTTATGTGTGTTTAACTGTTTGTATGTTTATATATAGGCACACATGCACACACACACACACACATACATACACTCACACACATATAAAATTTATTATAGTTTTACTATATCTTTTACTTTAGGCTGAAGTATTAATTAGTTCATACTCTCTAGAAAGGTATAAATTTAATTACTATAAGAATGTTTATATATTATCATTTTTTTAAACTGAAATTATTGTATTATTTTTATTTTATGTTAATGTTCGTATAAGGAGTAAAATTTATAAATTCATGACATGTATTTTATTTCATAACTTCAATGAATTTATTAATTGTATTAATAAACTAGTGGAATTTTATTATAAAATACTTTAAAAGACGTTTATAAGAGTAAAAACTCTAGCCTTATAAATGTTTATTGCCTAGAAACTATAATGAACATGGCTTTTATTGAAAAACATTTTTTGTTTTATTTCAGGACCAATGAACAGTTAAATGAATATTCAGATGAGGATGATTTTGAAGGTAATAAATTTATGATTAAATTAATTAATAATTTATGACTAATTGTGATATTAATTGGTATGGGATCTTTATAAAAGCTAAGGTATTCATGTTTTTTTTGGGTAATTGTTATTTATTTAGAAACAAATATTGCAGTTAAAGTTGTAGAGGTATATTTTTAATCTTAATAATGTTGTTTATCATTTATGAGTTTTAAATTAAAAACCTATACCACCACTACCACCACCATCATCATCATCATCATCATCATCATCATCATCATCATCATCATCACCATCATTATCATCATCATCACCATCATCATCATCATCATCATCATTTTCATCATCATCTTCATCATCATCATCATCATCATCATAATCATTGTTAAAACAAAATTGTTTTTGGCCTTGTTTTGGCTAGAAAAATATTATTGACCATAGAGTTAATATTTTATAATATTTTTTCCATAGGAATAATTTTCTAATATAAAAATATATCTACCATAATTTCAGGTAACAGAAAATAAACAACTTAAAGAGATAAAAAATGCAAACAGGAATGATGAAACAATGCAAACAGGACAGGTTTATGTTAAAGATAAAACATTTTTTAAACGTCAATTGAACTAATTAATTTAAACTATAATTAAAATTTAAATTCTATCTGTTCCTCCAATGTTTGACAACACTTTATGAAAGAATTTTAAATGCTTTTCAATGTGTTAATTACTGGATTAACTACTTTATTAACAGCTAATACAAGAAAACATCGAAAGTACAATCAGCCATACTCAAGCAGTTGATTGTATTCGCCAAAATAAGGAAATAATCACGGTATTTGTCTATTTTAGTAACAGCTTAACAATAATGAAAAAAATTATTTTTAGTATACAATTAATTAAGCATACAATTAGCTAAATCATAATATTGTATTGTGAGCAAACTTTTATTGCATTTTTACTTTTATTGTAAACTTTATGTTTTACGGTTTACTTTTATTGTAAACTGATATTGTATTGTGAACAAACTTTTATTTGATTATTTAACAAAGTGGTATTTTATTATTTATTCAAAAAAATTTTATTTAACAAAGTAATAAATAATTTGTTATTTTAGCATTATGAAAAAGCAGGGAGTATGGTTCGTCGTAAAGTTAAGTGTCCTAAATGTGGAGAGTGAGTTAAAAATTAGTCTAATTAATTTTTACTTTTATTTTTAATTTTTTTAGTTTTTATTGTTGCATTTCAGGTCAGTTGTTAATTTAAAAAGACATTTGACTTCAAGAAAACATAATTGGGACAAACTTAAAGCATCAAATGCACGATTAAACTTCGGACTTAACTTAAAACGAAAAATTATTTCACCCTCAAAAAGGCATTCTAAAGTGCAAAAATATAAAAAAAAAATATGTCCGATGAATTTTTGTACAAAAGAAGTTCAAAGACTTGGAAACCATTTAAGACAATTCCATAAACTTTCAAATGATGATGTGAAAATTATGGTAGCTAAAGCTGTTAATGTCTATGAAAAATCAAGCAGCGAATCCGAGTTTGAAGATCACCCAGAAGCATTGGATTCAAAGATTCCAAGTCTTGAACCTTATTTTGATAGAGAGGTGTTTAAACAAGGTGAACATTTTTTAAGTTCATCAACAGAAAGTGATGAAGATTGGTTGGCTTCACAATATATTGCCACTAGGTTTAATGGAAGAGGTTAGTAAAGCAAAAAAGTACATTTCTAAATTTTAACAGGACTGTATTTTTAATCCAAAAACATATTGTAATTTAATTTTTTTTTTGAATTTGCAACTATAAGTTTTGTTTTGTGGTTTTGACAATTAAGTAGCTAAGTTTTTATTGTTATAAATCAAAACAATATTTAATTTGAAAAACAGAAAAAAAAGCAATAGAAAAGTTGAGGAAACAGAAAAGGTTATGTTCTATTATCTTTAATTATTTGAAAATAAAAAATTAAATGGTAAGGGAACAATATTGTTATCAAACCGAAAATGGATACATTTGCATATTGTTCTGTTATTATTTTGTAAAATTATTATTGTTTATGTTTGTTTCAAGATGGCATATTTGATTATATATATTTTTAAGTACCTTTGTTATAGATAATTCAAAATGCAGTGAAAATACTAGTAGTGATACTTGTTATTCTATGTCTGACGATTCAATTGAATCTGCTGATTTTGAAGATTTACCTGACAAATTTTACATGACATCTTGTTCAGAAGATCAGCTTATGAATGATTTTGTCGAGTGGCTTATTAGTATTGATGGGGGTCGCAAACCGAAAAGAAGTGCCTTAAAACACAAAGGTATCATACTGGGCATTGTCAGGCATGCAGGCGATTATGATATTAATTATAACAATCTTAGTTGCCATTCATTTTTAAATTCATGGATGGTTAAGCTTAATAAAGAAAATAAAAAACCTGGGACAATAAAAACATATCTTAGCTCGATAAAACATTTTTTAGATTTTTGTATCATTAAGGAACAAACAGATATCATTACAATTGAAAAACATACAAAAATTAAAACACAGATATCAAAATGGTCAAAGACCTTATGGAAGTCTATTCAAGAACGCCAGCATGAAAAAGATAGAAATGATTTTGACAATTTTCCAACTCCTGAAGAAATTGCTATTTTAGATAAGTCAGACCTTGTTTGTGAAGCTAACAAAATTATTAGTACAAGCAATATTAATAAAGTTACAAAAACTACATTTTGTTTAGCCAGGGATTACCTTATTACTTATATTATATGTGACAACGCCTCTCGTCCTGGTGCAATAAGCAACATGACCTTGAGTGAATTTAAAAAAGCCTTGGAAAAGAAAGAAGGTTTTATTGTTAGTGTAGTTAAACATAAAACTAGCTATAAAGGGCCAGCTAATATAGTGCTAAGTCATTCTTTATATTCAAAAGTTAACAAGTACATTAATTTTATGCGCAATATGCTTTTTGGAGTATCGAAAACTGACGATTCTCATGTATTTTTATGTTGGAATGGTAGTTCCATTTCTTCATCGATGCTATCTGCCCAATTTACGTCTTTTTTGCATAAGGGTACTGGTAAATCTAGTATTACTCCAACAATTTTTAGAAAATTCACCACAACATTGGTTCATGACAAGCATCCAGAGTTAAAACAAAATACTGCACATTTGCTATGCCATGATTTAAGAACAGCTGAACGATCATATGATAAAATTGATAAGAGAAATAAAGCTGCAGAAACAAGTAAGAAGCTTCGAGAAATTGTGAGAGAAACAGAATTATCAGAAGATCAAGGAACTTCATTGAGCTCAATTTTTGAGTCAGAAATTAGTATGGGCAGAGTAACATTATCCGATGTTAGAAACAAATTTAATCAGTACTCACTTGGTGATGTATCAGATTCAAAAAAGGTAAAAAAAGTTTTAGATAATGTTCGTTATCTTGTTAAAAAAAAACAAGTCTCTGAAGATGATTCAGATTTTCTTTGCTCAGATTTTGAATTTTATAATAAAAAAGATGGTAGCCTTCAATCTTATGAAGAGAGCAACATCATTGCAGGTTCTTCTACTTCATCATTAAATTTAATAAAACGTAATCGGAAGGAGTTTAGTCAAGCTGATTTAATATTAGTTCATACATATTTAAAGGAATTTATTCTTTCAAAAAAGCCATTAATTAAAAATGATGTAAAAGCACATTTGGAGTCAGTGCCTGAGTGCAAACAGTTGTTAGAAAAATTTGGTGTGAAATCTTTATTAGTTAAAATTCGCACTGAAAAAGGAAAACTTTAATATATTCATAATATATTCAATTCCTAATTTTCTTTTGTCGTTTTTAGGGTTAAAATAACATATATATAAAGCTAGCAATTTTTTAGTTGTAAGTGATTCTTAAGTAAAGTTTAGTTAGTTTTTAGTTCAAGAGATACTTATGTTAAGCCGTTCTTATGTATTGCCATCTAAACTAGAATTATACAAAATGTTATTGACAAAGTATTTTTAAATACAATAATTTTTAATACAACAACTTCTAACATTAAAAATAGTAAAAATACAAAGTTTTCTTTGGTATTGGTATAAATTTTAGTGTTTGTATAAATAAATTGTTTGCATATAATAAATTATTTTTTTAATTTTTTGGTTTAATTTATTCGGTTGGATATATGTGTCAAGTAAGACATTGAATTTTTAATAAATGGATGAGATCCAAGCAATTAGTGGAAAAAGGCAGAAGATGTATTATTTTCAATATATTGTATTAAGATGATATTTTCTCTTAGAAAAAATAATAAGGAATAGACAAAGTAAAAAAATTTCTGCTGGAAGTTGTCAAAAGAATGTTGTGTTATGCTTTTTTTAAAAGGTATCTAAATATATATTTATTAGAAATTTTTTAAATTGTTCTTAAATGGTTTCATCTTTTTTATTACTTCAGATAAAATATACTGATTGACATTCCTTCATTTTTATTAACAATGTGCATTTTTAAAATTGTTTTAAATTTTTATATAACTGATTATAATTATCCAAAAATTAAATGATTTTATATATTTTTTTTTAAATGTTCAAACATTATTTGTATTCTTTTTTTTTAGTTGTCATTACTTTATTAGTTTGCTTACTGTTGAAACATGGTTTTAATTTAGTAAATTTATATGATATGTAATTTACTATGTTAATCATAAGCCAACAGTTATTAAAAAACTGGAATTTTAAACTATTGAGGTAAAAATAATTTTATTTAGTGGTAACATAAAAAATCCTTTTTTAATAGTTAATTGTGCTATAGCTATTTTGTGCTAAATATATTGTTTTTATTATTAAAAATAATATCTTTAGTTATGATTAATAAATAACACAGTGCCTTTGAAACACAGTCTGTCTCCTCTCTCTTTTACTAAAGTTTAATAATAAAGGGGAGCATTATTGGAACACTCTGTTATAACTAATCTTTTATGTATTTTTTGGTGTAATAATTGATAATGACCATGTTTAAGAAATGTTTTATGAGTCACTTACTAATTCATGATTTATGAACCCCAGTTGTTCTTACAGATTTTTCAAAAAAAAATTTCGAAATAATCATTAACTAATATATGCCAAAAGATTGGTCACATTTGATTATAATGATCAAATTTTATTCTACTCAATTTTATTCTACACTATTGTGTAGAACTAGGGCGTCGATCTAGCTAAAAAATGACTTTCAGTGTTGTGCTACCAGGCTGTTATATTAGCTGATTATTTTCTTTTTTTTTATTATTCCTTATTTTCTAAAACACAATAACAAAAATATGTAAAATAATGCTTTTGTAGTTTAAGATGATCTTTTTTATTTTATTTTTTTTTTAGTTACTGGCAAGTTGTTCTTGGCTTTTCTTCTCTGATGCTTGCTGTTATTAAAAAGAACCTAAACCAAAAAGATTATACTATATATAATGTTTTTTACGGAGGAGAGCGCAACGCTAAACTAATTAAATTAAAACATTTATAGCGTTCTTTTGTGGAAAAACCGGGACAAAGGCAGCCCTTTATATAGATGATTTTGTATTTTATTATATTTTTCAGATAATAATACATCAAGTTAAAGTGTTGTTAGTGATTTGTTTATTAATAACTCGTACTACGGGTTGCTTACTGTTAGTATTTAATAATAACCTAGTGTTCTTCAATAATATAAAATATCTCATCACTATTATACTGATCAAGGAAATTGTTAACGAATTAAAAATGCTAACTTTTAATATAACTATAAAAATTATTTCTATAGCATGAAAGACTGCACAGACATTCTAGCATAAAATAATGACTTTTTGTGTGACTATACCAAGGTTAAAAAGAGTTGCGCTATTCAGATTTGCACTACTTATAAATGAATTTTAATTACATAATGAAAGCTTTCCAACCCCATCAATAGTCAAATCAAATATACACCACCCATTCCCATTAAATAATTGTTATGAAGCAACAAAATAAAAAAATTATAAAACTTGTCATAGGAAAAATTATAAAATTTGTAATAAGCAAAGGAGGCTAAAGTTGTTTTCAAGAAAAATAAGTGTGGCGAAACAAAATCTGTTTTTTTTGGAAGAGCACAATCTGATATAGTCTTGTATTTGTGGACTGGTATAAAATGTAACATTACTAATGTAATGTCCATATGTTGCTAAAAACTGCTAAATAAAGTTGTGGCGGTGTTCTGCATTCTACCGAATGTTGAATATAATAGAGTTTGAGCCATTTTGCAAGACGAATTCACAAAATCTGTCAAAATTGGTATTTCCAACATTTTTTAATACAAGTAAAGTGAAAATTCAATAAATTAGAATTCTGAAACATTACCTTTAGTAATTTTAACGTATAGTACGACATTTTTTTGAGTAAAAAAAAAAACGTGCATTTCTAACGTGTTCAATTTTTCCAACATGATCACACTTTTCCAACATGATCACAGAGGAGCAAGAACAATTTTTTTTTGCTCATCTTTTTACCTATAGTAAAACTAAATACAATTTTGTTAATAAAACAACCCATATGAGAAATGCACACGCACAAAATGCTTCTTTTAAAGTTCAAAACCAAATATTCTTTAGCATTTTAAAATATAAGAATAGTGTGCCCTCATGCTACCAAAAATCAATATTAAAAAATCATTTTTAACATGTTAGCCAGTATCAATATTTAAAAAGTTTGATATTTTTTTAATGGAAATAATGCCAAGATAAATATTTCGCGAAAGGGAACTCTTACTAGCTTCTTATTACAAAATTTAATAAAATTGACAATTCTGCTTTGAATATTTTAAAAACGCAAAAATAAGTTCACCTTAACTTTATATAAGTTGCCGTGAACTTTTTGGAATTAAAAAAAAACGGTTTTTCAGTAGTAGTAAAAAAAATAAATGGCCAAAAAAAGTGGAAATTTGTTATAAGTGTGGGGAATTTGTTCCTTTTTAAGAAAAAAAATTTTTTTCTTGCATATGAAATGAAAATTCAGAAATAATCCGAAAAGCCCTTAGGTTACGCAGCTCTACTACTATTGTCAGTTTTTGGCATAATTCTATGCTATAATCACAAAAAAAATTGATTTCTTTTATTTATTATATAAAAATATAAGAATAAATAATATATAAAAAAATAAATGTTACACTTTTCAATATTTGTCTCTACCATTTATGCGCTAGATGTTTAGGTAACATGAGGGCTCGCGACCGGGATTATAGTAGTAGTAGTAGTAGTAGTAGTAGTAGTAGTAGTAGTAGTAGTAGTAGTAGTAGTAGTAGTAGTAAATAGGTTTACATCTCAACATATTTTAGATATAAAAAAAAAAAAAGAAAAGGAAAAAAAAAATTCATGACACTTTTATTTGTTTTTTTTTCCAGATCTTTAAAAGTGTCTGTCAGAACTGAACCTAACGGTCAGTTCAAAGAAGATGCGATATTTCTTTCATTTATTTGTTCGTGTGTCATAAAAGTTTTTTTTGTCAGTCCTACGTTTTGTAAAATAGTAAAATGTTCAAACAGGTTGGTTATAAAGACAACAAAACAGGTTAGTTAAAAGTTTACATACATACACGCATATGCATATCTATATATACATAAATTCAGGATAATAAAAAAACAAACTTTTATTTACACGTAAACCAAAACACATATTTATACATATACGCGTACACATATACGTATGTATATTTGAATAAATGCATACATAAACACATACACAAAAATATATACGTATACCTACTCACGTAATTTATTTATTTTTTTGTTTAATTTTATTTACTTATTATATAAATATTTTTTATATATTTTTTTTGATTTATAATTAATATTATTATTTTTCTTTCTGTAAATATTTTTAGTTTACAACTTTAATATAAATAATCGTATTATAATAACAAGAATTGTTTAGCATGATATACGTTTTAAGAATAAAGTATATAAAGTTTTTAGAATTCGTAATGAAAGAAAAATAATTAAAAAAAAACACTTTCACGAAATGCAAACATTAGCATTTCAGGTTGGTAGAACACACGCTATAAAAAAATGTTTATTTTCAGAGGCTCATAAACTCATTTTAAAAACAAAGTTCAAATTAAATTGTATTTTTACTTTATTTTCCCTTATATTCTATTTTATAAATTGTTAAGTTCACAAAGTACATTTCATTAAGTTTTAGTTACGAAACCTTAAATATTAAAAGAAGTAAAAACTTTTTACTTAATAAATGATATTAAATTTGTTTTAGTTAAGGTATAAGACCCCTCAAAAAAAAAATTATTAAAAAAAGTTTTTTAACAAAAAAACAAATAGATAAAAGGATTTAAAAAAATACAAAATAAATTTATTAATTGTCATGGCTACCAAGCAAAATGGCCGACATTTAAAAATATTTAAGTTACCCCAGCCAAGCTATCTCAGTAACTGAAAGCATGTAGGTTATGAATTTTTGGCATATGGTCAATAACATATTGATCTACAAACTGAACTAAAATTATTTAAAAAAACTTAGTACTTGACCTATAATGAAATTTTCAAAATGGCGTACTATAAATATGATTTTTTTGTAACTTGAAACTTCTATAAATTAAAAACTCTTGATTGCATTAAAAAACTTTTAGTTCCAATTGTACAACCAGATGCAATAAACATTTGGTGAAAATTTCATACAAATTTAACTTACGGTTAATGAGATAGGATGGCCGGGAGGTCAAAAATTTACATTTTGAGAAAAACTCGTTTGAATATTATATTCATAAATTTTCCTAATATTTTCTCTCGTATACTCAATTGAAAAACTTTTATTTATATGAACATGAACCAGGGTCATAAAGACATACTTCTTGATCATTCTCTGCATCATCTTTTTTTTTTTTTTTGCATCCACGAATAACTTTTCGTCGCTTTTTAGATGTAATCCGATTTTGATATTCTGCAAAAATTAAGCGCTTTTTATTCATGGTTGAACAGCCTTGGAGAGTATAAATACCAGGAATCATATTCAACTTTTTAAACAAAAGTATGCTTGCTTTTCTTCCAATATTAAAATTTGAAACAGCATCATAAACTCCTAACTCCAACTGCGTTAATGAAACATACTTTGTTTTAGGTATGCGCTGCCATATCACTCCATTAATACTTTCATTCTGGTTTTGGGTTTTACCATGAAGACATTTTTTTAAGAGTTCTTCTTGAGATAAATCTATATATATAGGCTTTAGATGACTGACAACTGAGAGTGGAAGACCAGCACCTGGCTTGTAGGTAGACGTTAAATTAGCTTTATCCTGTTTATAACGACACCAACTATTGATGCTATCTGGGCAATGAGCATGCCAATTATTTTCAGCTGATGATGCAACATGAAACAATGTTGCAAGTATGGCCTTTTTCATACCTTCTAAATCATTGGCATTTTGCCTAACAGCAATTCCATAGTAGTTTTGTAGGCGATCAATTATAGCATTTGTTAATTTGCCTTTGCCTCCAAATCCTTTTACATTTTTTTTCAAAATTCGCAATCTGCTACCAACACGTTTCTGTACATGTCCAACACACTCCAACTTACACACTGTTATACCAGGATAAGTATCTTTAACATACGAATAGCTTTTACAATCACCGTCATCATAATACTTTACATACCTCAGTTTATTTTGTGAAATAGAACGGCTAAATATTCTTTGAGCACCAGTTACTTCCATTACAGGAGCAGAGCCACGATAATTTAGTTTACATACATGTGATGATTTCCAAGCTTCAAAGACATTTGGGTTATTTTCTTTAAGTTTTAGTTTTAAACTACATGCTTTACATGATCGACTCATTGGTTCACAATCAAGAATTTTACCTGTGTTCATTGATATAGCAGTAACCACTCCATTTAATGAGGAAAATCCACGACGTTGCCAGCTACCATCAACTGATACTGCAGTATCAACAATATTTGAAGAAGATTGACAAATATCTTTAACAGCGTCATACATTGTTTCTTTTGCAACAACTTTAGCACAATCAGAGACATGTTTAATTATTTTGTTGTAATTGTTCTTAGTCATTGGTGTAGGAATGTTCATTTAAGAAGTAAATTTTTCTAGTCCTGAATAACCTTGACCTCATGCACGCATAGAATAAATTATTCTATTATTTACATCAAAATTTTTTTTCCCAGAGCATGTCTTTGAAGTATAAAATTCAATTTTTTTGTTGCAATTAGGGCAGCATATATTCAACATCGAGCTAAAACCTTTTTTTTTAGGAAAACATTCTTCAAAAAATAATCCAGATTGTAAACAATTTTTGCAACATAATTGACTTATTACACCAGATAAAATTTCAATGTCAATAATACGATAACCAACAGTTTAATTATTACTTTGATGTGGTGTTTCAATTTTTTCAACTTTTTTCGAGAATATAGATAAATCTAATGAACTATTATTGAAAATAAGGTCATTTTCAGAACAGGTAACATTGTTATTAACAGGAGCTACTGATAAAGGTGAATTGTTTGTCAAATTTTTGGTATACCTATTTCCATGAAATCTTCTGGATTTTTTACTTTGAGTACTTTGTTTAACTCTGCATAATT